ATTTAGTGTTGCACAAATTATGGTTAAATTTTGTATTTTTCAGTAATTTCAAAAATAAATTTGCATACACACAGGCGCCTATGGATAAATTTGAAACAAGGATGAGAAACTATTAACATTTGTTAATCTTTGTGGGGGTTTGAAACTAAAAGGATATTTTCGTTGGTAATAAATAAAAATAATAATTTTATCTGTACATAAGCGAGTGTGTAGTGTGGTGTCGGGAACAACGCTTCACAAATTTTCGTACATTTACTTCAGTTTATTTTTAATTTTATTAATTTAGTTTGCTTGATTTCATTTTTTATTTGTTATGATTTGTTACATTTAATTTTTTTACATTTCATATAATATTATTTATTTATGTAAACTTTCACAAAATTTTGGTTTTCTATTTTGTTGTATTATTTTACATAATTTATTTTTTAGGTTTTCTACTTATTTGTATTTTTCAATTATTTTTATTTTTTTGGTTTTATAATTTCGTGTTTGTTTTTTTATTGCCTTAATTTATTTAATGTTTTAATTATATTTAATTTTTTATTTCCTATTTAATTTTACTTGTTTTTAATTTTTTATTTCGGTATATTTGTTTTAAAATTTTTCTTTGTAACATAATTAACCTTTTCGTTACTTTATTCATTTAAATGTTCTATTTTATTCTATCTCTTACATACATTTCAATTTCTTTAATATTATTGTATTAATTTTTTTACTGTATCTTTTATTTCGTTTATTTTTGTGTTTGACTTAATTTCGTTCTTTATTTTTTTTTCATTTTAAATTTTTAGTTTATTTATTTCTTTTGTTTATCTTATTTATATTTTTTATTTTACATATTTTGTCTTTTACATTCTTTATTTAATTACTATTTTTTATTTCAACATTATTTTTCAGCTTTATGCCCCGACAGCTTTTAGAAAAAATGCTTTGACTTTGTTTCGTTTTCCAGGTTTCCTAAAAAGCTTGTTAAAAAATGTTTGTTTTACTAATTTTAATCTTTGCCTTTTCCAGTTTTCCTAAAAATCTTGTTAAAATTGTTAGTTTTATCTATTTTAATTTATTTTATTTTGATTTACATAAATTTTTTAACTAATATTTTTATTTATTAAAAACTACATTTTTATTTTGTTTTATTTAATGTTATTTATAGTTAAAATTTTATAAAAAATATATATATCCTATTTTATATAATTTACATTTTAGTTTTGAATTTTTAATCCTTTTTTATTTTATTTTATATATGTAGTAAAATTTTTATTTATTTACATACAAAATATATTAATTTATTTTTTCCTTAGTTAAAATTTTTTATTTCGTTTAATATTTCATTTAGATTTAATTCTATTTAATAAATTTTTTTATTTTACTATTTTTTGTTTTATTATACTCATTATATTTATTTTTCATTTCTCTATTATTTCTATTTTCTATTTTCTATTTCATTAGAATTTATTTATTTTTAATTTTTAACCAACTTAAAAAAAGGCGGAGGTTATTTATTCGTCAGAATTTTTTTTTTAATTAAGTTACCACATATCTATGGACCTCGTTAACCGATGTCTATAACTATTCCTGTAAAGGAAAGGTGGTACCACAGAGGTGGTCCCTTTCTAATTTTTTTTAGAAGCGATCATTGGATCATGACGAAATTAACGGGACTCTTAATTTTTTAAATGAGAATTGAAGTCGGTTTTGTTTTTTGGTTAAATCGACTTGTTTTATTTTACTTTATTTTATTTTATTTTGTTTGTTCATTATGTTTTTTATATCGTTTTTTGTTTGTTTTTATTAATGTAATTTTTGTTTATTGTTAAATTAAATTTTCATTTTATTTTTAATTTACTTTATTAAAATAATTTTTCTTCTTGCATTTCTTTTGATTTGAAATTTATTTTGCTTTATTTGCTCTTAATTTGCTCTAAATTTGTTATTTAGTTTATTCATTTATTTTTCTTTTAGTTATACAAATTTTTAATTTTTTTATATTTCTCTATGCATATTTACCTACTTTGAACAATTTCGTTTTACTGATTGGTAATATTTCATTTAAAATAAAACAAGATCAGTTGTAAATAACAAATACGCAGCCCGCATGGCAGAGCAGCCGAGTGGAGGGTTTGACCCCGAGAAATTTCGGTGACAGGGCTGGCATTCGCCAACCTTTAAGTAGTAAATGCCACCAAACCCAACAGAGTTTCCTCTAAGAAAAACCCCATCCCAGAGTGAGATACATTTACTTAACATAGAATTACAAATATCTCAAATAAAAGTACAAGGAATATGAAGCGAACCTGGCCCTAAATTGAAGGAAAATAATAAACCACCAAAGTGCTGCCTCTACATTACGAAAAACACTGGAAATTTTTCTTTAATAAAAAGGATTTTTCACCTTAAATTTCTGCTGTGAAAAAGAGGAAAAATATCGATGACTTTCGGTGGTTGAAATTTCACATTGGCTACATCACACATATTTCTACTAGTTACGAAACTCTATTTCAAATTAAAAATTGTTAATAAAGTAAAATATGCAACCATTCCACGCTTATTTACCTGAAATTTTTATAAGACTTGTGGCACGTTTTTCTGAATTTATTGCATTAAATTTGCCAATGAATTTTTTGCGCGCAAGCTTTTGCTCATTCTTCCTTTCATTCTGCGTTCACACGAAATTTCTGCGTTTTTTTGAACTTCACAAAACGAATAAATACACAACTGATATAAATATATACGCACAAGTGGTTGGGAAAATAAGCTTTGTAAAAAAGCAACACTGAAAATTTGAAACAAAACACTATGCTACCTGCCACCAAAACTTCCATGGCAACAACAATGCTTTTTTGTCTCTAGTGTTTTAAATAGTTGTAGTTGAATACTTGCCACACATGGTGTGCGATAAATTGACTGAATGAGGTGGGCTAGCAAATAAGGGTGTTCATGGTGGGTAGCATGAAAAGTCCTAATTTGTGTTAACGGCGACCATTTTTTGATGCGGGTAGGTAGCTTATTGCTGAGCAATATACGGCAACCTTCAACCGTAGATGCCCGCCCGGAGAAGTAGCAGGATAAAGAGGCGAGACATGGCTACGCGAAATCATTAAGAAGACGCCCTTAAGAAACTGAGGCCAAAATATCTATCGAATCTAACGGTATCCAGTTAAGAACACTGCAAAGAGAAACCGCAGAGAGAAACTGCAGAGAGAAACTAAAGCGCCGTCCAGGGCCGAAAAAGCTGAAGTCACCGGCATTCTTCGAGTCGCTCATGGATCTTTAGAAAGTCGTAATCGATAAAGTCAGCCCTGTTGGGAAGGTAACGCTGGAATGATGGTCACTTGTTTTAACACGTAAGCAACACCGAAGACCGTCCGAGAGTAATGCAAGAATTCGGCTCGTTTCCTTAAGAAAATTAAGGCAAATGCTCTTTCATGGAACTGGTTAGAGGTGGCGACGGACAGGTGTTCTACGGGTATCAATAATCGATAACGTTAAACCTGAGAGGTAACGGCGGAATACTGTCTACTTGTCACATAAGCGCCGAGGCATAGAACTTTCGATTCAGCCCAGTCTTCAACAGAAGAAAGTTGAGCCGAGCTTAGAATGGCTACAAGAACTCGTTTTACTTCCTTAGGCAACTTAGGGCAATGGACCCAGCGACTTCCACGGCCCACCGACAGGCATCCATCGGTAACCCAGTCCAAATGTATCCAGGTAAGTGCATTGGAAAGAGCAAGATCTGACAAATTACCCATGACAGAGTTGAACAAGCCGAAGTGCACGCCATACTTTGAACACTTGTGCATGGAACTACCGGTAACCATATTTGATACAGCGGCCCTGTTGGAAAAGTAACACCAGCATACTGACTACTTGTAGAGACGAAGCTCATAGAATGAATGTTTGAGGTTGAGAACGAGCAACTCATGTTCGAGGGAAAGAAGCAAGCAGAAGTGATAAGTCTTTAGATTCGCAATTAGCAGCCTAGACGCACTTTGGACAGGCGCTCGGGCGATGTTGAACCTAGCTTAAGGCTACTAGTGCGTCCAATTACTTTATCTACTGCAAATACGACCAACGATCCCTGCAACGCAATCTGTTCTGAAGCCCAAAGCTGGCCGCAACTCAATGGAAAGTGATGTCCCCGACATGCTGACTGCTGTCGATCAGACGTCGTTCGACAAAATTAGAACCTTTGAAGGCTTGAGCGTTGATGACTTAAGACTAATTTTGGACTACGCACCCTCAAAGCGTGTTTCCCTGGATCAATACCGAACAAAGAACTTTTCCCATATAAAATCCATTGAAAACTTTAAAAGGAGTCGCCCAATTGAGTTGTCTTGGAAACCGGCCGCAATATGCAAGGGAAGAAGCTAATCACGAAACAAATTTATTTGCTTCACGCTTCTTCTGTCTCGTTCCATCCACTAATATTTATACCCGACAAGGACCTGGATATAGTCTTCGGCATTAAAGCTTGGCTTGCCGAAGTGAAGGTTAGCGGAATGGGATTGACCGATTATCGTGTCTACATTCCAACGACTGAAGGGAAGACAAGAACATGCATATTGGCTAAAAAAGATATTCATCGCTTTCTTTTCACACTGGAGAGCTCACATCTGTAATATATGAGCGTACCCCAGTATCAGGAGGTAAAGCTACCACCACTGACATTCTGTCAACCTTTGATAAACGCTAGATGCCAGTGCTATACCTGGTAATCGGCTGCTATGCAAAAGAAACCTCTAAATCTTTAAGTGTTAAGTGAATATTCCTATCGAGCTAATCGTGCTGCCGCAATGCCTAACAAGTGCAGCAAATGCACCGAGCCTTCATATTATTTTTTTTTTTGCTTTGCAACACATGAAAAATAATAAGTTGTATACAAATCGTGCAACGGTAAACTTGCAATAAAAAAAGGTGATGTAAAATTAGAAAATTTACGCTAGTGTGCGTGTTAGCGATGCTACATGTTTATGCAACTATATAGAATATAGCAAACTCACCTATTAATGCACTGCAGAGGCACAAAATTGCGAACGCGTACAAACCGCATACGCGCCACCGCTGACTGTGCGGTTGTTGTTGTAGTTGCTTGTATTGCCCCATAATTGCGAATTGTTGCTGCGTCGTCCCTTCAACTTCACTTTGCTTGCACTCGACGTGTGTGTGTATTTCAAAATGTGTTTGTTGACTCTGCGCGGTGAGTGCGAGTGTATGCGTGCTGATTTATTTTTAGTTGCACTGACCGGCTTCCCTTTTTTAATTACACTTGTGCAACAAAAATAGCACAACACAAAAAACCGGCAAAATTTGTTAAAACCATGTAATTTGTGTTTTTGGCGAAACTTGAATTTGCAATTTTTTTTTAGTTATGAAATCGCAAATATTTTCTGCTTGAATTAATTTAATTTTTTTTTTTCGCGTGTATGTTCTAATTCACTGCACTTATTTGCACAAATAGATTATAAAAAATGTATTTTTTTTTTTAGTTTTTTTTTGCTTTAGCAGCACTCGAGCGATAGCGCAGCAATTTTAGTTTAGCACGCACACTTTGCTGTCAGTCACTCACTCAGCTCACTTTGCTAACGGCATTTATTTATATTACTTTTTTATTTGTAATTATTGTTTTTGTTTGGCGTCCAATGACCCGACACAGTTACACGGGTTTAGTTGCTGTTTTCTAAATCGTTTTAATTTTTTTGTCGTTTTGGTAGCAGCTTTTTTTAACTTTTTTGTTGCGTTCTAAAGCTGCTTGCCGCCGTATTAAACGGGTTCTTGATTGCAAAACGAAATTAAATTAAGGCTGCTCGTGTTTACGATAAAAATGCTGGAATGGAGAAAAATGTGAAAATTAATTAAATTTTTGATAACATGTGAAAATAAAATTTTAATTTTTTAAGTAATAAAATTGAAAGCTTTGATTTATTTATGTAAATATTGCGGTAAGCAGCAAAGCTTTAGGTTTCTTATAAATAATCAATCTCATTGACACAAAATTCCCTAAATTTAGCTAACCTCGATTGTAAAAATATTTAAAAATGTTTTTATTATTTGGCAACCTTCAGCTAAAATTTTTTTCAAAGTTCATTTTCAACACATTTACTAAAATAGACTTCTTTTATATTAGCTTTTTTTAAATTTAGTTAATTTTATTTTTTCAAATGTACATGACAACTTTATAAAAATTCCCATATTAAAGTATCCTCCAACGGCTTTTATTTGTCACCACAATATACAAATTTTACACATTTCGCTTATTTCGTTTATTTTAAAAGGTGGTAACTCTGTTACAAATAAGTCTGTATTCAAGATTTTACAAACACCTTTCGTGTTTGCTTATTTTGTTATGCTTCACTAAACCAACGGTTATTCTCTTATTGCTTTTTGAATAGTATATAAATATGTATATACGTTGCAACTCTATTCCGGAAAATTCCCATTTTTGGAATATATTTCTACTTTATTAAGTTTAAAAGGCTGGCTAAACGTTTCACAAAATAAATTCATTTAATTCTAATATTGCAAATCTTTTTGAATATGCCCATAGATGGCAACCCTTTTCAAAATAAGTTTGAACTCAAGATTTTATAAACAGCTTTCGTTTCATGCACATATTACTAAGCCTTACTAGGCATATATTCTTAAATTGACTTTTACTAAGCATATAGGTGGCAACTCTATTCAAAAATATAAATTTCAAAACCCTGCCAAAAACATATGTGATTTAAGAGTATAACCAAAACATTTTATGGAAATCACATTCTATATTTTAACTCTTTTTTGTAAACTCATAGATGGCACCCTGTGGCAAAGAAATCTGGATTGGAGATTTACGAAATTCTTTTATGAGATGACAATATTGGTGTGGTTTAGCAAACCTATATTTTATAATACATGTTTTTGTACCCAGGTGGCAACTCTATTAAGAAAGTCTACCTTATTTAAATACTTTCCGTTTTAAATTAATATTGACAGTTTGTTAAAATATGTCTGGATTTAAACTTTCTCAAAAATATTTCGTTTGATACCCATTTAGTAATATCTTTTCAATATGGATTAAGATGGCAACTCCACTCCAGAAACTACACATGTACATAGGATAAGAATGAAGTGGACAAACCCTCGCCCTTTCATGTAATGACTATATGATATAGTGGACCACGGCAGTTGTTCCAAAGCTGGATGGGTGTCAGGCTGGATAGGTATGAAGTTCCATGCTTATTGCGACCAAATCTCCATGTACTAAGAACGGAAAGTCTAAGCTTGGCATTTTATTTTTGAAGCGACAAAACGGCGAAATATCGACTGCTCATTGTAAGGTGTTTTACTCAGGGCTATCTGACGCTACCGGTGGGAACTTTATTCTCAATTAAGGTTGAGTATCTTTTGCTTAGCAACATTATATTTCCAAGAGGTTACTTTCCAAAAGTAAGAGGAATATGGTACCACGACTAAACCATACTTTGCTTCAAGAGGTTCAAATTAAGTGCAAGTAGAGCTCAGGGGAAAGGAAGAAATGTAAGAGAAGCACACTTGGGTCACTACGGGATCGAAAGGAATGAGGCCCACTCTGCAGTTGAGGTAACACAGCCTATAGTGGGTTAGGGCTGTAAAGCTAGTTTACAATGTGGAGCTGTTAGTTGTCTTCTTTATTTTCATTCTTTACTCTGAGGGTTGACTATATATACTAGTCTAAGTAAACTTGGGTCGCTGAACATGAAAACTATACCTTTTTTTCAAAAAGCACTTTCGAAATTTTTTCGCAAAAGGTTTTTTTTTTTGGTACTTTAAGCAGTCAATCACCAATATCTCTTAAAAAAAACTATCTAATCGACGTAAGCCTACATCGTGCGAATGGGGCGAATACAGTGCCATGTGGCGAATATTTGAGTCCGTGAGAGCAGAAGTGGCCTAAGTCAACAATTTTTTTTTTTGAACTTTCGTACTTAAAATAGTCTCAAATGTGATAACATAACATAAATTTATTACATTTGAATTTATTTTAGGGAGTTAAGAATACAAAAATTGTGGGTTAGGCCCACGATTGAGAGAATACAAAGGTTGCGCCGATCTCGGACCGCTATTCCTCTCTTAACGAGTTTGACAGAATCGTTGTTTGCATGGCGTCCCACTTGTGCAACTTGTTTACGTTTTCCTTGCAACATTTTTTCTTCTTCTTCCATTCTTGCTCACGTTTTGGCATTTCTCTCTCGCAATTGCACCAGTGTGACGTCACCCAAAAGTTATTCTCAAAAATCCTCTCTGATCGGCGCAATCTTGTATTCTATCATTCTTGGGTTAGGCCACTTCTGCTCTCACCGTCTCATTTATCGGGTTACTGAGTAATTTTTACTAGAAGTGCGTTTGAGCGTGTGCTAGACTGCTGGTAGTTCGCTCGGTAACTCTGCTCAGTGCTGATTTACTCAGCGCTAGATCACCGAGGCTGCTAAAGCTGATTCACCTCTGTCTTCCTGTTCGGACCTTCTGAGCTGTTTTGTTATGTTCCATTTGAGATCTGCCATACAAAAATCACTTTCAGTAAAGACACGAAAAAGCTTAGGTTTTCGAATGATCCGCTTGTTGTGGTTGTTGTAATGGTCTAGAAATTTCTCAAAGACTTTCGGGGAATGCTGCTAAATGACAATTCAAGGCTAGACATGAATCTGGGCCTGCTGCTGTAGGAAAGCCTGGTCACCTACATTCTACAAATGTAAGTTTACAAAGCTTTATTCCGTCTTCGGAAAGAAGAAGATTTCGTATGATTAACTACTTTTAAATGCTAAGAACTACCAGCCATCCAAATAAATTTCTTTTAACATTTTTCAATTGTGGTACAGGTTTCACAACCTTTCGCGTATTTAGCTTGGAGATTATCCCTTTGGATTTTGATATTTCTTAAAAAAAATATTATTCATCAAATATTTAAATAACTGTATCAACGCTTTCATAGTTTTTGCAGAATTTCGAATTCACAAATAGTTTCGCATAGATATGTATTTACTATGTATGTAAACATTCACCTCTTGCAAAACAAACTCAGTTCTTTGCCAAATACAAAGCTTAGTGCATAAAACTCATATAACTAATTCCCGCAGCCAAATTTCAACTAGCCAGCGCAAAACCAAAAATATTTGGCGCTTAAGCGCACACTTGCTGGAAAAATGTTGGAATTGTGGACAGGATGACCTACATTTTCAGTTTTTGCCAAGCAACGCTAACAGAAAATGTATGAATGTTTATGCATTCTTATATTCCAATGTGCATATATGTACATACATATGTTTGTATATATGGACTTGTAATGCAGCCAGTTAATTTTATATTTAGGTGCACATTTAGTTGTCCATTTTCCAGCTTGCCACACTTTGCTTTATTATAGCTTTTTTCCACATTTTCGTTTGTTTTTCTGCCATCGCTCACTTGCCACAATTCCAAGTACTGCGAGTATAAATACATACATTCACAACGAATTTTTGTAATGTTGCCTCAATTAACCTTAAACATGTACCGTAAATGGGGCACTTCAAGTGCAACAGCACCCAATGTCAAGGGTTATTGGGGCAATTTTATTACTTGCGTCCGTACATGAACAATTGCTAACGGAGCGGAACGAAGTGTAGTGTGCTCTGAGTGCATGTAATTTAGTAGAAAATCAAGTGCAGACTTCATTCAACGTTAAGTAGCTTAACTTCGAGTAAGTTGTAGAGCCTGTAGGCGAAACTGGAATTAATAAATTTAATTTTTTTTTGCACTTTGCACTTAAGCAAATGAGTTTGAGGGAGACTAGTTTGCAACTAGTAATAAAGGGATCAAACGAAATAAATTAATGTTATATGAATTGTGACGCCAGCAGGAAATCGAATTAGTGAATTGCATTTTTGCTAAATCAATGAAATGCTAACTAATTTAAAAGGTACTAGTTCAGAACTAGTTGCAAAGGCAGCATATTCAAATTTGTTTAAGCACTTATTAGAAGCAAAAAAAAATCTGTGAGTTTTCACAAAATATAGAACTAGTTTTAATTTAGTTGAAAATTATAGTTTTGATTATACACACATATGTGTTTTTAGTCGATTTTAAGAAAACTAAAATTTAATGAGAAATTTTTTCGCACAATAAATGAACGCTCTCAAACATGAATCACTATCAAAATACTTGAAAAGTAAGAAACAAGCTTCTTAACAAAGATTTTCCCACGCACGCTTGCGCATGCGCGCCTTGAGATGATTTTATTTTATTTTTTTTCAAATCGAAACAGCTACATTTCGCTTGACTTTCTGTCAGCAGCTCAAAGACAGCGCAATAAATTTCTGTTTGCAATGCTCAACTACTAAATTTATCTATACATAACTAAATATTTATGCGCAAGATCACTTGCTGGCCTTGAAGCCAATACTGTAACTAAATAATCAAGCGCAAACGGTTTTGGTGATGTTTTTCCACTGCACACGCAATGATCACGTCTCACCAGCAATAAATTTCCTCGCTGACATCTTTATTTCAAACACATAAATGTATTTTAGTGTTCACACGCGATATAAAGTGCAATCGATCTACATATTTAGTTGCATATCTACCGCCCCCTGACAGCTCAATAACGAAGTATGAGGTTGCAGTAGATGCTGGATTTAGCATTTTAACTCCATGACGTTTAAGTGAATGGTTGCTGCGGTGTTTGTCACATTCAAAGCCAAAGCAAATGTATCAATAACTGCACACTGTCGTTGTAGACAACTACTACTGAAGCTTGGTTATTATAAGAACAGCGAAAATTAAAAAAAGTTGCTTCCAGTGAAGTATGTTAAGACAGTTGCCAGACAAATGGCT